CATCCGGCCCCTGCGCCCCATCCCGTCCCACCCCCTGCACTCCCCATCCAGCCCCCGCACCCCACTCCGTCCCACCCCCTGCACTCCCCCACCCCGCTGTATCCAGCCCCTGAGTCCCACCCCATCCCATCCCCTGCACTCCCCCTCCAGCCCCTGCACCCGCACACCAGCCTCATATCCAGCCCCCCATGGCCACCACCCTCCCCCATGGCACGTGCTCCCCATTGCCAGCTGGGGAGGCCCCCATCTTACCCCAGGGCAGTCTCAGCTCGACCCAGTGGGTGTCTGGGTATCCACGTGGGACTGTGGGTGGGAGGATCCCTGCTGGGCGTGAGTGCACTGTGGGGCGATGGGGTAACTGCCATGGGGAGGTGCCAAGGTTCCCCCCCTCGGGGCTGGTGCGGATTAACCCTTCGAGGGCCCCAGCGCACTGCCGGCTCCATCCCTCGTCTCGGCAGCACAAACAGGCCGTTGAGGTCAGTGGGGCTGCGGGCACGGGGCACTGAAGTGTCGGGGGCTGGGCTCAGAGCCCCCCGCCAGCAGCCTGTGCGCCAGGGGCCGTGCCGCTACGCCCCTGCCCCAGGGACCCACTCCACCAAGGCCTTTCCTCCCTTCATAGGACCATGTACTGGTCCGACTGGGGCAACCACCCCAAGATCGAGAAGGCCGCGATGGACGGGACCATGAGGGAGACGCTGGTGCAGGACAACATCCAGTGGCCGACAGGTGAGCAGGGCCGGGCACGGCGGGCGGGGCAGGGGATCCCCCGGCACCCAGCGAGGGTTCAGGCAGATAGCGGGCTCTGGAGTGAGGGCACCGGGCCAGGACTTCTGGGTTCTCTTCCCAGCTCTGCCACCATGTGACCTGGGGTAGGTTGCTTTGTGACTCGGTTTCCCTCGTCTGTAACCAATGCCCGTACGAAGTGCTTGGGGATCTGGAGAATCTGTAGTAACACCCCACGTCTGCACGATCTGCCCTCTTCCTGGGGGACCCGCAACTGGGGACTCCGGGAGCTGGGCCCTGCTGCCATCCAGCCCGTCTGGGGGTGTCTGGCCGGCCATGCTGCAGCCCACTTCCCAGCAGTGCCCACGACTCCCCTGCCGTGTGGAGCTGCCCGGCTGGGCTGGTAGAGGTGCTGTGGCCGACGGGATCTCAGCGCGTGTCTCCCCGCAGGCCTGGCTGTCGACTATCACAACGAGCGGCTGTACTGGGCCGATGCCAAGCTCTCCGTCATCGGCAGCATCCGTTTCAACGGCACCGACCCCGTCGTGGCTATTGATAACAAGAAAGGTGAGAGGCCGCTGCAGAGAGCCGGGCTGAGCTGGGGCGGGGGAGGTCTCCTTAGGACGGGCAGCCACCCCCTACCCCTTCCCAGCACCCCGTCCTGGCTGGGGACCAGTGGCCTAGCTGAGCCGGGGAGCGGGGATCTGGCATCCGATCTCCAGAGTGCACCATGAGACAGAGGGAACGGAGCTGTTCCTTCACTGCCCACAAGGGGTCACCAGTGAGCAGCTGCAGAAGAGCCCCGCCCCCAGAGCTCCCCCCTCTACTTAGCCAATCATGCTGCATCCCCTGTGTCCTGCCCCGTTCCAGCAGAAGGCCTGATACCGGGGTAGAGGGGCCCTTGGCCAGACACGCAGCAGGTATCCGGTTACAGCTGCGCCCTGAGCTGCAGGGCCGGCCTCTGACTCCGCGCCCCTCCCGCCCTGTCCCCCCAGGACTGAGCCACCCCTTCAGCATCGACATCTTTGAGGATTACATCTACGGCGTCACCTACATTAACAACCGCATCTTCAAGATCCACAAGTTCGGGCACGGGCCCGTCACCAACCTGACGTCTGGGCTGAACCACGCCACCGACGTGGTGCTCTACCACCAGTACAAGCAGCCGGACGGTGAGTGCCAGGGCCAGCCGAGGACCCCCCAGGGCTGCTCGGCCTCCTCCGCCCTGCCAGGAGCACGCCCTGGGTTACAGCATTGGGCCACCCCCGTCGGCCGAGCCGCAAAGGAAAGGGGGGTCACAACCACTGAACAGCCCCCTCCAGTCTGAGCTGGGGCGGCCGGGGCTGCGGGACACAAGGGCGGGCACCTCCGGAGGGTGGTGCTACATGCGCTGGGACGGACGGGGGGTGCTGTGGGGCAGGGGTGCCCGGCCATGTACCTCCCTTCACCCACATACCCCTCCCCTCTCTCTCCCAGTGACCAACCCCTGCGACAGGAAGAAATGCGAGTGGCTCTGCCTTCTGAGCCCTAGTGGCCCCGTCTGCACCTGCCCCAACGGGAAGCGGCTGGACAACGGCACGTGCGTGGTGATCCCCTCGCCCACCGTCTCGCCCATCGGTACGTGGTGCCACCCGGGGGGGGAGGGGAGGAAGCTGCAGCAAGGCCACGCCCCCTCCAACAGGCCACGCCTCCTGAGCACAGCCAGGGGTTGCTGCCCAAGCGGGGGCGCCACTGGGTGGACGGCGCGTCTCCCAGGGTCACCACGTTCCCACTGGCACTGTAAGGGTTAAGATTCCCCCCGGCCCAGTCCAGGGCATTGCTGGTCCACCCAGAGCTGTGTGCCCACCGGGCAGGGTGCCAGCCCCTCCGCCGGCAGCCTGTCCTCACTCACCCCTCTCCCGCGCTCTCCAGTCCCGACCAGCGACACCTGCGACCTGGTCTGCCTCAACGGGGGCAGCTGCTTCCTGAACGCCCGCAAGCAGGCCAAGTGCCGCTGCCAGCCGCGCTACAACGGCGAGAAGTGCCAGCTGGACCAGTGCTGGGAGTACTGCCAGAACGGGGGCACCTGCGCCGCCTCCCCGTCAGGTATGGGGCACTGCCGGCCAGGGCAGGGGAGATGGGCCCGTGGGACTGGGCTGGAGCCCTGGCTTTGATCCCACAGGGCTGGAGGGGCCGGTTGGTGGGGCTGGGAGCTGTGGGTGCTCAGAGATACGGGGCTGGCGGGGCCGTGCCCCTGAGCCCCCGCACCAGCGTGGGAGGCAGGGCCGGGGCAGATCCGGCTGCCCTCGGTGCCCAGAGCTGGGCGGAGGGTCCGAAGCCCTGAGGCTCCAGTATCAGCGTCCGAACGAGCGAATCCCGCGGCCCCGTCCCACTGACGCCTTGGCCCCCTTCCCAGGGATGCCGACGTGCCGCTGCCCCACCGGCTTCACCGGGCCCCGGTGCAACCAGCAGGTGTGCGCCGAATACTGCCTGAACAACGGCAGCTGCAGCGTCAACCTGGGCAACCAGCCCAGCTGCCGCTGCCCGGCCGGCTTCCTCGGCGACCGCTGCCAGTTCCGTGAGTGGGGCGAGCCGGACGCCTGGGTCTCTCCCCCGCCGGGAGCGGGTGGGGTGCAGTGGTCAGAGCTGGGTGGGGGGGAGATGGGAGCCAGGACTCCTGGGTTCTCTCCCCAGAGCTGGGAGGGGAGTGGGGTGTAGTGGTCGGTCAGAGCTGGGTGGGGGGAGTTGGGAGCCAGGACTCCTGGGTTCTCTCCCCAGAGCTGGGAGGGGAGTGGGGTGTAGTGGTCGGTCAGAGCAGGGTGGGGTTGAGAGCCAGGACACCTGGGTTCTCTCCCCAGCTGGGCGGGGAATGTGGCCGAGTGGTCAGAGAGAGGGATGGGGTTGGGAGCCAGGACTCCTGGGTTCTCTCCCCAGAGCTGGGAGAGGAGTGGGGCTGAGTGGTCGGTCAGAGGGAGGGGTGGGGTTGGGAACCAGGACTCCTGGGTTCTCTCCCCAGCTGGGAGGGGAGTGGGGTCTAGTGGTCGATCAGAGAGGGAGGGTGGGGTTGGGAGCCAGGACTCCTGGGTTCTCTCCCCAGCTGGGAGGGGAGTGGGGTCTAGTGGTCGGTCAGAGAGGGAGGGTGGGGTTGGGAGCCAGGAATCCTGGGTTCTCTCCCCAGCTGGGATGGGCCCTGCTGCTCCCGCCACTCCTCCCTCCCACCGCCCACCCTGTCCCCCGCAGGCCAGTGCTTCGACTACTGTGAGAACGAGGGCGTGTGCCAGCTGGCGGCCGGCGGCGCCAAGCAGTGCCGGTGCCTGCCGCAGTACGAGGGTGCCCGCTGCCAGGTCAGCAAGTGCTCCCGCTGCCAGGAGGGCAAGTGCAACATCAACAGGCAGAGCGGCGAGGTCACCTGCACGTAGGTGTCCGCGGGGCTGGTGTGGCCAGCACGGCTCCTGGGCAGCTCAGCCCTCGGGCCCAGACGCTGCGTGCCAGGCACGCCCGGCGTCCAGGGGCAGCTGAGCCTGCCTGGGGGGGGAACGGGCACTGTGATGGGGGCGGCGCTAGGGGAACAGAGGCACCAAGCTGCTCTGCCCAGAACAGCGCCCTGGTGATCGGGGGGCGTGGAGGGGGGCTGGCTCTGTGCCCTGCCAGCCCCCCCGGAGAGCCCTGGCACCCAGCTCCTTGGCTGCAGCCGTGCTAGGGGGAGCAGCGGCAGTGGGCTGGGCGCCTGGAGGATTCAGGGGGTGTGCGCTGACCATGCCCCATCTCTGCCCCACAGCTGAGGGGGGCAGTGCGGGGGTGCATGCGCTGACCCCACCCTGACTCTGCCCTACAACTCAGGGGAGGGGGGGCTAGGGCAGTGGTGGGCATGCAGAGGGTTTGGGGTGCATGCGCTGACTCCCCCCCGTCTCTGCCCTACAGGTGGGGGGACAGTGGGGGGACATGAGGAGGGTTTCGGGTGCATGCGCTGACCCTGCCCCTGCCCCGTCTTTGCCCTACAGCTGCCCGAATGGCAAGATGGCACCGAGCTGCCTGACCTGCGACAACTACTGCCTGAACGGGGGCACCTGCACCATGAACGGCAGGACGCAGATGCCGGAATGCCAGTAAGCACCGCCCGGCCCGCGGCGTGGGGGTGACGGGGCCGTAGGGCGGCTCTGCCGGCCGGGCACTTCCATGGCAGACACGTGCCCATGGCAAAGCCCCCGCGCAGGGCCCAGCTCAGCCCCCCGTCCTGCCAAGAGCCGCCCGAGCGGGCACTGCCAGGATGTGCCCCCTGCTCCAAATCTCAGCAGAGCCCCCCAAGAACGGGTGGGGGGGGTGTCCCCCCCCCACACAACGGAGGAGGCATGAGTGGCAGGGACATCCGCTCTGCGAGCCCCCCGGTCCAGACGCTCTCCGTGCTCCCCCGCCCGGTCCCTCCCTGATCCACGTGCCCCCGCCCCGTGTGCCCCCCATTCCTGCGCCCCGCTCCCCTCTAACCTGCGCTTGGCCTCCCGCCCCGCCAGGTGCGCGACGGATCTGACGGGGCTGCGGTGTGAGGACTTTGGGGTCAGCGAACAGCAGAGCAGCCGTATGTATATGGGGGGGGCATTTCCCTGCCCTCCTGAGGGTCCCCGGAGGGGGCGGGGGG